ATCTCTTGATTAATGGGTTCTCTTAGGAATTTAAATAAACTTTGGTCAACATATTGATTGGGAAAGTCAGGTAGAAATAAATGATCTCTTTAGATTAATGGGATGAAACAGACTATTTTGTAGATGGATAGAATGATTGTTCTCATGTTGAAAGCTGTGGGTATGTGACCCAGTGACTCAAGGGAGGCTAACATACAACATTCAAGCGGGTAGAATTTGTTCTGTGCTTTTGTTATGCCATCACTGGACTTAAAATATCATTGATTTCTTTTCCCTAATATAAAAAAATGGTGGCTTTTACACCTTTCAGGACTATATCCCATATAAAGGCTTAAATTCAAAATTAGACTTTAGACATACAATAAAACAATTCTACAATGGGTAGCTTCTTGCCAACTTAAAATAGGTAGAGTTTGTATTTGGAAAATCCTGAAATACATGGGTTCATTTCTATGCCTTGCCATAAACAGAGCAGGAACACAGAGGAGCTATTCTGCAGTTTTATAGTAAGATGCTGCTTGTAAAAAATATACAGACACTATGTGTTCTACCAAATTGATTTTGAATGTGAGAATATTAACTCACAATCTTAAACCATCTTAAATCACAGAAGGACTGGCAAGTGACATCAGTTGTAGCAATGACCTTCAGAAGGTGGCAAGGAGATTCCAAGTCATAGCACTGCAGCTGCTACGTAGGAGCTCCATGGTGCCGGCTGCACAGGCGACAACAGGGCCACGCTGGCGGTGTGCCTGGCTCCCACATATTCAGGATGGGTTTCAGTGGGGTGTTTATTTCTGCTGTAGTGACGATCACTCAGAGACGCCCCTTGTTGAAAATACTGGTAAGGTGCTATATAAAGTAACTCTTCATTCCACAGAGAAAAGATGTCCTTCGATTTAGCATTTCAATAATAAAAAATATTTGTTATTATTCATGGGCCCCTCCAAAACAATATTTCAACTTCTTACATGAGTTTATTCCTTTCTGCTCCCTCTTCTAAAATGAAAGTTACTATCATCTCTCTCTCTCTTGAGTTGTCCACTCCATCCCTCTTCCTACCAAGTTGAACACATCCTATCTAAGATTGTGTGAGAGGCACAGAATTGCCCAGATTTCCATTGCTGCTGTCTTCCGTGTGGCCCCTTGACAGCTCTCACCAGGGCCAGTTCACTCCCACCAGTGTTAACCTCAGTCCATTCTCCATGTTACTATCAGGGCCGTCTCTCTCTATTTTTATTTCTTTTTAATTTTTATTTTATTTTTTTTGCTACCAGCGATCAAATTCGGAACCCAGGACCTTGTGAGGCAGGCGGCAGCACCCCTTGAGCTAAATCCCAGGCTCAGGGCCATCTTTCTAAATGTAAGACTGATGAGGGTCACTGTTGCTCACCATTCTGCAGCATCTTCAGTTTTCACGCTGGCACTAAACAGCCTCTCCTTCTCTTTTCTCCCCTCTCCAGCCTTATTTGTTGTCATTTCTTCTACAAATACGTGACTCTCAAAGATCTGAACTACTTGTGGTTCTTGAATGCACCCTGCCATTTGACATGTCCCATCATTTGCTTGTGATCACTTGGAGGGCCCCGTTCCTCCTTTTGTCAGAAATCTTCCCACTCTGGCCAATGGCCCTTTGACAAACTCACTTTGCTCCTTCACAACCCAGAGGCATGAATGCACGTATCTATCTATATTTAATCGGTGATCACTGCACATCACTATCAGTCACTGATTTACAAACCTACCACTCCCCCTCATGAGCACAGACTAAATCACTGTAGGTGAAATTCTCCTCCAAGTATCTACCGTAGGCCAGCATCAAAACTATAAATTTATGGAAACCGTTACTAATTTTAGCCTTCCTAAGAAAACTGCTACTGACCTAAATGTACAAATTCTTTTATAACAAGGGTTTCCCAGTTGCCACGACAGATGTTGGGTTTAGAGTTTGCTTGACATCAGAAAGATGAGGGAGAAAGAATATATATTTCCACAAAGTTGGGGTGAACGGATGGTGAACCACAACTACTGTACAGTAGTCCTCTAAAGCAGGGAAGGTTGGACTCACTGCAAGCCAACTGCTGTGTGGATGTTTTCCTGACAAGTAAATAGACCTGTTTGTTGTTGTTCTGAGGCCACAAACATTGCACAAACATTCCAGAGAGGAGACTGTGATAGGCTGATTTATGGTAAAATTGATCAGAAAGGCAAATAGTTTCAAAGACAGCTAAATGGCCTGAAGGGATCAAATCAGAGTTGTGAGAAGAACGCAAAACCAGTGCTGTGAAAATTGATTACCTCAAACCGGGTCCTCACTTCAAAAACAATGGGAGTACTAAACCAGATGTCTTCCTTATAAAGCTTTCCTTATTGGCAGGGAGATTAGAGGGAGGAAAGTGTGCAGAGAAAACAAGGTCTCACCCTCACTGCAGAATTCAGAAGAGCAGAGAAGCAGGGCTCCTTTGAGGGGAAATTAGCTAACTAGACCACTGGGGTTCCATTCAACTGGCCTCACCTGTAGGGAAACTGGGGCAATCATTTCCAAAAATTAAAACAAGCCACAAACCAAACAGTACCAACAAAACTCCCACTAAAAATAGACTTGGTGGAATTAGATTATTAGAAACCATATTTTTCAGATTTCCCCCTGATACTAGCATTTATTTAAAAAAAAAAACCTGTTATTTGTTTACGTCATCCATAGTTATTTTTGGGGTAGTATTTTTAAGATTTTAACTTATTTTTTGAGCATGAATCTTCTACAGTGTAAAGCTTTGAGTTCTCAGCTAGTCACTTAATTCCAGAAAAAGTAAGAAGTCCAAACAACAAATACAAAGATATGTATTTCTGTGTCAGAGAAAAAGGATATATGATTATTAAAGATTCACTAGTTCAGATGATCTGGATTCTTGGTAATGAGAAACTATGCAATAAATAAAGGCGAACAAAGTGGGAGAAAGACATTTGATGTAAAAATGTGTTATGGATAACACACTAAGTTCACGAGCAGCAGCAAGGAGCTGAGGGTTTACAAGGCTGAAGTGTCTCCTAGGAGCCTATGACAAATACAGGAAGAGGCTTTGAGATCTGTTGTGTTCATTTTATCTTTCACTTATACTGCCCAGCACAGTGACCAGCACTGCACGGAGGATCACAATTTATGGATGAAACTGCTTAAATGAATACAGAGTCAATACGAGTTGCACTGCATAATACAGTGATATGGTAACAATACATTGTGTTTGCAGTTTACACACGGTAAAGCTGAATTCGTTCAAATAACCCCTGAATGATAAATGCGAGAAGCTGGCGAGGTCACTGAAATAGTAGAAGCAAAGCTAACCACCTACAAAGTGTATTTTATCACAGGGAGTAACATGTGAAAGACCCTAATTGCTTGTCAATAGCGAGAGAGGTTGAGTGCAGGCATTTTCTCTCTGTGCTCTGTATCAGCAAAAGATTCACCTGCTGATCACTGATTCATGAACAGCACTATGTCCCTACTTTGAATTTTCAAATAGCTAGAGCTTCCTAAGTGTTTGTGTTCCAAGCACACTCAGCCCCTTCTCCTGTTCTGCAGGGTGGTGGTGTTCCCGGTTGTTACCCAGACAGGAATCAAGAGTTCCTTCATGACTGATGTTCTTTTATTAACATAGTTTTTAATTAAGAAAAGCATTTGTATTCTTCCAATGACTTAAGGATAATTTGAATGGTAAATTCAAATAAGCTCAAATGTAGTCATTTTATATGTAATGAAAAGAAAAATATATAAGAAAAATATGTATAGAACTTGAGGTGACTCAGTTATGAAATACCTGCCGTGATTTATATGCCTGGATTAGCATCTCGTCTGAAGTCTAATAATAAAATGCACACAAAAGTCTACCACTTGCAACTGAAATTTGCTTAAGTTTTCAACATTCATTTAATAACAAACGTGTAAATGTTTGTTAAAGTGGCTGGAATAATTTGAACTCATCACTAAAAACAACATGGCTCACGATTTTCTGGAAGATGAGAGCCATTAGGTTATGTTATGGTTCGGGTCTGGATGTCCCCACAAAGCCTCCTGTGGTCCAAGGCTGGATCTAGACTGTGCGAAGCTGGAATTGATTCATGATGCAATGCTAGGCACCAGGCCTGAGGGTGTGCGTGCTGGCCACCCTAAGTAGTCTACACAAGATAAAAAGGCAGGGAGAAGCTGTTAAAACCCCCTTGTGGTCTTTGCTGCCTTGTTTGTGCCATGTTGTTTCTCCTCTGTGAGGTCTGTTTCTCATCCCAGCCTTGGAGCCAGCTGATCATGGACCGAAACCTCTACAAACTGTGAGCCAAAGAAACCCCTTCCCTCTAACTTAGAATGTTCAGTATTTTGTCTCAGCAATGAGAGAAAAGTAACTAGCATAGGTAAGATGAGAGATTTTAATACTGGAAAGATAAAGGAAACGGCATGTTGAACATTAATATTTATCATGGAATTTCTGATAAGGAACAGTTCAGGAATTAAAAGGTCACATAAGCTTTGTTGGTTATAACTATTCTGCTTTTATTTCCTCAAAGCTTCCTACTTTTCAATCATGCATAAGAAATTATTCATAACTGATTTACTGCAGTGGACAGGAGTTTATTTCCTCATCTTATTTCTGAGAAATATCTTCAAAGGTTTTGTTCCATAACTACCAACTGAAGAAGTGAAATGAAATGGGAATAAAAGAAAAAAAAAAAGTAATGCTCTTAAATCAAACAGCACAGAGCTGAAGGGTGAAGTTCATGAATACCTCAAAAATCCCTGTGGAATTTTGCTCCATACTACAGGATCATCTATGGGCTTTGTCCCCAGGATAAATGAGCAAACCAAATCAAAAGAAAATAAAACAGAAGAGAAACCTTCTTGCCATTAATTGTCAAATGAATGTCTCTTAGAAATGAACCATTTTATTTGCTGCTAAGCAACCAATATTTCTCCCGCAGGCTGCTGTTTCCTTAACCCTCCTCCCACTTACCTGATGGGTGCGCCTTTGGCTTGCGCTGGTCTCAGCAGCACGGTTATTGTCGTTGCGGTTTCATTAAGAGATGCATCAACTCCTTCATAGTCAGGTAAAGTTGGGGCTGATTAGTGACCAATGAAACGACATAAAAGGTTCCATTACTTACAGTCAGACATCATGAGTCAGTATGAGTAACTGCTCCCGATTTAAGGCAAAATCAATTTAATTCCCCATTATCTACCGTGTGTCTTATTTTACAGCACAACACTAACCACTACACCCTAAACTGAGGAATCTAAAGCACAGGAAGTCATAAAGGTAAAACTGTTGTGGAAAAATAAATAACCTGGTGATGTGTGGTACATACCCTGCTTCTGCTTTTAATATTCTGAGACCTTTAAATCGACAGTGAAAGGGTAGGAAGGAAATGGTGACAGCAGACTCGGGAATGGTGTTTGTGGGGTAACACGCAGAGCTACAAATCCACACGTGCATGGTAATAGCTGAGGTTGAGGCTGCTTAGTGAGGTGGGACCAAGTATGCTTAGGACAGATCTCTGGATCCTTTCCATTACTGTGATTGTCATGGAAACATATCAAGCAAGTATAATGAATGGGAATAGGAATGCTGGTTCTTATTTACCAAGAAATAATCTATTAGTTGTCACAAGCTTGCAAAGAAGGATGTATGTACTGGATAATGTTTAGCTCAGGGCGGAAGACCCCTAATCGTGACGTGTATGAAGGAATCAACCTCAAATGACTTTTGATCAGTTCTATGTAGAAGAGCTTTAACTAGTAAATAACTAGTGACATGTACAGCTAGGGAAATATGTGCATTATCAGAAAAACAATTACTGAGAGTAAATGACAGCTAATAAAGTTTGTGAAGAATTTCGCTCATTCATTCACTAAACATTTACTGAACACACAGAATGTACAGTTTTATGCCAAGTGCTATAAATATAAACACAAAGCTTGGTCTCTGACTCTACAGAATGAAAGTTAGGAATTAATGTTTTATGCAATGTGGGAGTCTAATAAACAAAAGCATTACAGCAAACTGTTAGGTGGTCAAAGAGAGATGCAGTTAATTTGCCAAACCAGTGGCTCTCATGCTCATAATTTCTGAAGAACCTTCTTAAATTCCAGATTACTGCCCTGCCCTGCAGTTGCTGGTTCAAGAACTCTGGAGAGGGACTAGAAAATGTGCTTTATTGGAAAGTTCCCACGTGATTCTGCTGCTGGTTTGGGGACCACATTTATTGAACTCGTGTTGGAGACGAATCTTAAAACCAAGAGTAAAGGTTTAGTAAGAAGAGATTCCATGGACTAGGACTGCAGCGAGAGGAAAGAGAAAGTTCAAAGACACCAGCACCGGAAGGCATGGTGACTTTCAACAGCGAGGAGCAGTTTTCTTGGATTTTGGGGTCATGGGAGAAGAGGATGGGAGGAGCCCAGGAGAGGACCACAGGTTCTCACATGTGAGCGGGCTCTGTCTTACTGGATACTGTGTACTAGATTTTGACAATATTTAAGAATGGAATATATGCTGTATAAAGTTTAATAGAAAAACATTTCAAAGAAAAGTAATTCCAAAGTCAACGATACCACATAGAATGATACTTTAACATCTTTAAAAAAAAAAAGGTCTGAATGGAACAAAAAACAAACCCAAGAATAGTGGCATAAGAAAAGAGATAAATTATTGAGGGTTATATATGAGGTAGAATCAACAACAACTATTAGAATACATGGACTATTTATACATGTGAATGCACAAATCTATATATATAATATATATATTATACATATGTATATATCAATGCACATGTGTAACACTCTGCCATTACAAATATATATATTAATACACATGTAACACTCTACCATTACAAATATATATACATATATATATATGTATATATATATTAATGCACATGTGTAACACTTTGCCATTACAAATATATATATATATGTATATGTCAATGCACATGTGTAACACTCTGCCATTACAAATATAAATATACATATATATATAAATACATATGTATATATTAATGCACACGTGTAACACTCTGCCATTACAAATATATATATATGTATATGTCAATGCACATGTGTAACACTCTGCCATTACAAATATATATATTAATACACATGTAACACTCTGCCATTACAAATATATATACATACATATATATATGTATATATATATTAATGCACATGTGTAACACTTTGCCATTACAAATATATATATATATGTATATGTCAATGCACATGTGTAACACTCTGCCATTACAAATATATATATTAATACACATGTAACACTCTGCCATTACAAATATATATACATACATATATATATGTATATATATATTAATGCACATGTGTAACACTTTGCCATTACAAATATATATATATATGTATATGTCAATGCACATGTGTAACACTCTGCCATTACAAATATAAATATACATATATATATAAATACATATGCATATATTAATGCACACGTGTAACACTCTGCCATTACAAATATATATATATGTATATGTCAATGCACATGTGTAACACTCTGCCATTACAAATATAAATATACATATATATATAAATACATATGTATATATTAATGCACGTGTGTAACACTCTGCCATTACAAATATATATATATGTATATGTCAATGCACATGTGTAACACTCTGCCATTACAAATCCAATAACTTCATTTCAGTTTCATTTTAACTGCTTTAAAAATGTTGAGGAAGGGCCAGGGATTTGGCTTAGTCGTTCCGCCACCTGCCTCGCAAACACAAGGATCCAGGTTCCATCCCCAGTACAAAAAAAAAAAAACCATTACAAATATATATATATGTATATGTCAATGCACATGTGTAACACTCTGCCATTACAAATCCAATAACTTCATTTCAGTTTCATTTTAACTGCTTTAAAAATGTTGAGGAAGGGCCAGGGATTTGGCTTAGTCGTTCCGCCACCTGCCTCGCAAACACAAGGATCCAGGTTCCATCCCCAGTACAAAAAAAAAAAAAAAATTTTGACAAAAAAAATTCTGTTCAAAATGCTGGGGAGTATAATTACTAGATTCAAAGAATAAATAAGAGCAAATTATTTTAAAATTTCAAGTGATATAAACACATTAACCATAAATATTATTGGCCTTGCTGTGGTTACCAGTTTTTCCCAAAATATATAGTGATAGGAACTAAGATTTTAAAGTATAAGAAAAATATTCAAATCAATATGCAGCCTTTAGGAATGTGCACTTGTCTAATGTGCACTTGTCTAATGTGCTCAGTTTTATAAGCTTATATAAACTTTGAGCTATCTCTGTGGAAAGATCTTACTCAATTATAACCCAACTTCTAATTCTAGAGGGCAAGAAACATTTCTCCTCAGTACAGTGTAACATCAGAAAGTCTCATTTTCTAATAAAGTGATTCGCTGGATACTTTAAATTGGTGATTTAAAATTCTCTCATCAGAAAATAAAATGGAAATTTTGATACACTGTTATTTTCTAAGGCAATGGATGCTATTTTAAAAGGCTCACTTTATTGGAATATTAAGATAAATCAAATGTTATGCAACGGAATATACTGGAATAGGCAATTTTATTTCTGATACAAATTGTTAAAATTTATATTTTATTTAGCACATTTTCAAATAAAATTTTAGACTGAGAGCCATTTAGAGTGTGCATCTTCCTTTTGATATAAATAATACTGATTCAGAACAATGTTAGAAATTTTAATCTTTTGATATATCACTGACATAGGTACATATAGCTGCAGTGAAAAGGAACATAAATGATCTAAAAGGATTCACAAAGGTAAAATCAGCATGTTCATGTATCACATAGCTCACCTTTAAAACATTTATTTTTAAAATTAAACTCTTTGGGTACATCTACAATACAAATTTATTTTAGTACTCTTAAATGAATAAGAAAAAACATTACATAAACTGGATTTGATTTAGGGCATATTAAAACGCTACTTCCTAGCAAGAATTTAATCAGGTTTAACCGACAATCTGACTGAAGGAAAATAACATTTGTAAATAAACTAGTCAAATGCAAGCTATAAAATTGTGAACATAATTGAACGTGAAATTTAATTATATTTGTTTATCAACTTAAGTTCTCCTGTATGTTCCCATTCTGGAATTTATATGCATTTATGTGAGGCTTTTAATTGAGAAATGAAAGCTTGTATTTGTGTACAATTGCAAGAATGTTCGGAAATTAGGACCAAAACAAGGTATATGTTACTCTCATGCCAGAGCAAAGTACTGATCTTTTGGTAAAATCCTTTCAGAGCAGAGATCGGGTTCCACAGTAATCACCAACTCCTTAAAAATATAATGATGCCGATCATCCTTCAGGATGAACTCTGAAGGATTTTTCATTTTATATTGTAATTTTTACAAAGAGCACTGTCAATTCAAGGCGATGCTCTGCGAAGTGTCTGTGTTTGGACCTATAATTAATAACGTATTCGAATGATTTTTCCAAGTGTTCTCAATCCAGTAAGCAGGACCAGTGGCACAAGGAGCTGATAGACGCTCGCATACCTGAGATGTTGGTGGTCACGTTGATGGCCGTGGCTGGCCCAAAGCCCTTGACCGTGCTGGCTCTGATGAAAAACTGGTAGGTGGTCCCCGGGTGGAGATGCATGAAGACGTGGTGCGTGCTATTCCACAGGTTAGATACCGTCTGGGGAGGGCCGGCCACCGGCACCGCGGGGTCGAAGGATCTTATACTGCTATAGCTGACCTGTTTGAAGAAATATGCGAAGTATGCACAACAGGTTCCACTCCATTAGAAATAAACTCTTTTTAAAGAAATTAGTATGAAGAGGCAGCCTTGCGGAGTCTATCATACTATTTTCACTCCTTTTTCTTAGTTTGATATGATTATTTCTGTCCCTCTGCATTTCGATCTCTCCATCATCTATCATCTACCTCTGTCATCTTTCCATCTGCAGATACAAATATACTTGTATCTGAACTAAAAAGAATGTGCGTTTTCTTCCATCAAAAGCAATAAAATTAAAACACTAAATAAGTATGCATATATACCGAATTGTATGTTTCTATGTTTTAACATGTGAAATGAACCAAAGGTTTGACAAATGTTTATTTACATCGTTCAGTACTCTGCCCAGAAACATAGTTACGTTCCGGTATCCTGCCCGGTAGAAAACACAGGTCTGAAAAATAAAACGAAAAGAGAGAACCAAGAGAGAAAGTGGGGTGCCAGGCTGGCCAGTGCCGGTACAACTGACCGAGGCGCTGGTCAGGCCCAGGCACTGGTTTTTATTGGCAGTCGATAGGTAAAGATGAGGTACATGTGGTGTCTATGGGAATTAATACAGACAGCTCATAAAGGAGAAGACCAAGCATTCTCGAGTTAGGAACAGAACAGACACAATATGTGGTTGTAATTGGAACACTGTCCTTCTAGTGTGAAGGTTTTAGCTGTGGGAGTGGAATTTGGTTGCGAGTCACTCTGACCTCAGCGCGTAGGCTTCAGCCAGACTCGCTTCTATACATAAGCCAGTTGTGGGGTTAGCTTTTCACAGAGTTATGCTTTGGGCATACTCAGTATGATGGCCCTCTGCACAAGAGACAGCAAATTCCATGAAAGTAATATTCAAATATGCAAACACAGTCACAGTATGTAAGACTGTACTAGTGAGTCTCGGTCTCATGATTCATATTGTGGCCACCAGAACTTTGAAAATCTATGCCAACTCAGCATGGACTATGCAGGAACAAAGCCACACATCTGTACAATTAAAATCATCCTTCCATTTCTTTCTTTATATTTAGAAATAATTTATATTTAAACTTGCAATGAAGTTTTAAACAATGTTTATATTCTATTTTGCCACTTTGGGATTAATTCCTCGGAAACAATCGACAATGGTCCCTCTTAAAATACACTGTGTCGAGAATCTAATAATTTCATAAAGAGAAAAATGAGGATTGTTTTGTGATGGTTCATTATGACCATTACTAAGCCAGTTTGACAGCAAATGTTAAATACTATAATGGTATCTCTCATTTGAATGAGGCCAGAGACAAAGAAAATGATAAAGGGTAGACAGAAAGGGATAAGGGGACAGATCTTATCCCCCAGGGAAATGGTACAGTGGAACAAGGGGAAGGGGTATAGTGGAGGGGCAGGGGAAAAAAGAACAATGAAGATCTGTCCTGTACAGGAACCCAATAGCCCCAACTAATGCAAGCACGGCACGGTAGTGTAACATGAGCTAGGAGAAGTAAGATGAACAAGAATGAAAAAGGGGATGGGGCCCCGAGGAGGAGAGGGTAGGGGAAAGGAAGGGGATTAACAAAGAAAAGAAACGAACTGCGCTATGTACATCAATCAGCACTCCCAAGACTGTAAACTGCACGAATTGCAGATGTGTACGAATAAAAAGTAAAGTTTAAAAAAATTAAACAAAAATCATTGGAACGTTCTAGATATACAGTAACTGTTTCGATTCTCAAGTGTGGGATAAAAAATTTATAAATTAAAACCAAGGAGGATAATAATGACTTTACTCCCGCAGCCCTCACCGACTCCTTCTCTTTTGATTCCCTCTAATTTTTCCTTTTTGTCCTCCCTCTTTTTCCTTCCATCCACATTGCAATTAACTTCCATGTTCACCCGTACCTCATACTGAGTGATGATTCCGTTGGGATCCAGTGGTTCTTTCCAGTTCAAGAAGATCTTGTTCTCAAAGGACGTTCCTTGCAGAGATTTGACTGGGACAGGGCCAGGCACTACAAAGGCACATATTGGGGTTGTAAGAAGGCTTGTATCAGATAGGAAAAGTAAACTGATGAGACTAGGTAATAACAATACCTACGACTCAAAACACCAGAAGAAAAAGTCCTTACACAGAAGACTCTGACATAAGGGAATCTAGTCAGTCTATCACTTCCTGCAGCAGAAAATATAGAAAGAGTGATTTCTATTCAAAACAATATTCTATCACCTTAGAGAGTTCTATAAATTATGCAGTATAGTTTTCTCTGTTGCATACATCTCATCACATGAAGATCTTATTGTAATTTGTTTTCAAGAACTTGAATCTCCCTGAAAGATTTTTTTGAAGATTATGATAATCCCCTAACGAATGAGTCTCCATAATCAGAGTTCATAAAAATAATGAATTAGAATAACTAACACTCCTTGAGCTCCAAAGCTAAATCACACAGCCCTGAACTAAAATTCTCATTAATCATCCCGACTTTCATAGCTATATATATTAAATTTTCAATAATTAAAAAACACAGCACTATTATCATTTAAAAAGTTGTTAATGACAATTAGTAGGTTCTAAGTTCATTATTTCAGTCTTAAACGGAACCATGGAACTTGTCTAAGACTCAATGGTCTTTGTTTTGCTTGGAGTGCTGGGGAGAACCCAAAGTCCGTCCATGCTAGGCCACTGCTCTACTGCTACACCCCACCCTGGCCCCTTCACACTGCGGACTGCTGAAACATCCACAGGTGACCACATCCGGGTCCTTAATTTCAAATGTCCTTTAGCTGGTGAAACATGGGGCAGTGCCAAGGGCTATGGTCAGCTCCTTTTGGCAAAATGAAGGACACTTTTATATATTTCATTTAAATAACTACCTGCTATTTATAGCACAAACATTGATATGCTAATTCTGATCATGTTTTAAAACATACACTGCCCGGTGTACTTGGCTTTAATACTTACTTCCTTTGGAAAATATCAACCCAAAACAGTGGCAGGTATAGTTTCTCGTTAATATTGCCCCTTAATCTAATGTTTCAGTGAACTTCACACATGATGTTACCTAGAAATGTCATTTCAAAGGATAGGGCAATTTTGTAAAGGAAATAAATTAAAATAAATTAAAAATCACTAGATCAAAGGAAATGCTTGCTTTATGACTAGCAGCATCAAGAAATTCAGAGTGCTATGCCTCAATAGTAAGATGGATTTCACTCTCCAAGGAGACTAAGAATCCTGTTAGGACCTCTGAGGCGGGCATCGTAATTTGGCCTGTCAATCATAAACTCCCAAAGGACAGAAACCCACAGCAAACACAAAAGATGCCACCACTACACTGTTGAAGATAATGTTCTTGCTTATGTCAGCTGAACGCATCCATGTACCCCTGCTCCCTGGCCTCAGCTTACCTATTTGGCCTATCAGGGCAGAGGGGCTGGGACATTGATTTACTTTCCAAGGGAACAGCTGTTGCTTTCATTCTTCTCAAAGGACACAGCTTATCTTTGTAATTAAATAAAAAGTATTTCATGTTTCTTATTTATCGCTCATAGAGAGAGGCAGGCAGAGGCCACACCCTGGAATCCCGAGTAAATGTTTATTTGTTGAAGTGTGTAGCTACCTGTGCTCACCATTAGGCCTATAAATGTACTATGAAATGACACTAACATACGTGTACTTGTTCCTGACTGGAGATGGCTTAAAACTCTTGCATGATTCCTCACTGCATAAGGAGGGATAGATTGAAAAGTAGCTTCCCTAGAATTTCTATGCCCTTCCCACAGGTGTTCAACTTTGTCAACCGAATTCACTTCAAAGAGCTGCCAGTCCCATTTCTAAGGGGGGGAATGTGTGGGGAATTACGGACACAGAGGAGCCATGCCATTGATCTTTCCTTGGTGTGGTGCAATGGGTGGAATAAAAACTATATTTCAGTGAACTGTAGCTCACCCATAAATAGGTGTGGATGAGGGGTAGACATAGGCCAAGTACATTCCTTAATGGTCTACACTAAAGGGAGACGTCATTTGTCTACACAGAGGTGATATCTTGGTCTACTTATGATTTGTGTGAATACAGCACGAAGTTACTGAGCTCTGAGCTCTCTCCTGGCAGTCTGCAGAGGGCAGGGAACGTCAGTTCACATTTCCATATCAACAACTTTTAACAGGGACAGAATGCTGACTTGTGTTCCCCTGCTCGTGATTTATAGGAGAGCTGTTTCAGCTAATTTTTTTTTTTTGAGTATAAGAAAGTCATCTAAAATATAACTCTCAAAATGGAAAAGAAAGGACAGAAAGAAATGTAGGGAGGTTGAGATTATATTAAATAAGGACCACAGTCTTTAAAATGTAATAAATGTACATTTAAAAATAGCTTTGCATTCTCAAAAAATGTTCCCAAACTAGGCTTTTCTGCTGAACTAACTTCATGATATTGATTTTCATGAATGCTAGAGTAAAAAATGACAACAAAAACTTATATAACAAATTCTTCCCATGCATTAAAAATGTGTGCAATAAATTAAATACAAATTCTACCTAAGGGTTCTGGAAAGAAATCGTTCTAGCTTTGCTGTCATGATTTATGGATGTCCCCAGAATTCTTTTCATATAATTACATCCTTTTATTAGGTGGCTGATAATTTATTCCTTTGCTATGTATGTAAGGCAGTAATAATTTAGTAAGATTGATGTAATCAGATCATCATAATCATCGATCTTTGCAATAATGGTTATGATTTAGATATTCTTTCCCCTTCGGAAACATTAAGATACATCAAGTATTCTGCCTTGAAACCGAAGTGTGTATGGACATTAGAAGACTGAGTTACTTAGAAATATTTCAAACACATTTATACATCAATCTTTAAATACTATACATTAAAAAAAAAAGCTACTCACAGTAGGAGGGATTAGTTTGTGGCCCTGCTGTGAAATGATAGTAATGCAACTTCATATCATTAATACCAGGAAAAATTCTTCAAACCAGAAGTTAAAAATAAAATTCTGCCTGAAAAAAATATTTAAATTCAAACCTATAGCTCATTTTATTTTACTTGTACAAAGCTATTTCTGGCTAAAATGCATATGGTAGCCAAGAATTGATTCGATTTATGGTAAAATTCCATAGAGATTAGTTTTCTATTAGTACAGTCATCTGTTTACCCCAAAATGCGGTTAAAAGATTTAATGCAACATGAAAAAGATGATAAAAAGATAATTGCATTCTTCTGTTTGTAGCAAAGTTAACTAACAAAGCATATCAAGGACTACTATCAAGATAAATTGTATTGTTAAAAGGTGATTGGGTAAGAAAAGCACAAAACTCATAGCTGAGTCTAACGCCACTGATTAAGAAATCATGTTTTGAAATTTTAAGAGCAGGCAATAAAATATGAGTACACTCATTACCAACAGCATGGGTTACAAAATGCTTAGTGTAGTGGAGTCACTGGCACACTTATCCTATGCTACAAGAAGAGCCAGAGATACTTCAGAGCATTTGCATCTATGCTTATATCCCTACTTCTATGGTCCATCTAGGAATTAATTACCTGTAATCATGTTTTCAGCATAAACAACTGCTGACTTGTGAGTTTCTATGAGCAGTGGGGGTGGCGGTATACGTTTACATGTATGTACTAGGACCACGTTTGTATGTCAGTATGGCTGCTACATTAATTAGGAAGAGTTGAAACACACTAAGAGAGATGGTCATGTTTCACTTCCTCAAATATAAATAAAAAATGTAGTAATCATTGGTAAGTCTTATGTTCAGTCTCTGAAATTTTTAGTAACATGAGAATGATACCACACATAGTTGTAAGACTACGTTAAGTGTTTCCTTCAAAGTCTGAGCTAAATGAAGTTAAAAAGCTCTCACTTCTCTTCATTATAAGAAAGCAGCAGAAGAAACCCGAGTCACTGTTACGTTTTGACCCAGGATAAATGGAAAGAATGTGGGACATTTCTGGAAATTATGGCATTTGAACGTCTTTCATAACTATCTCACACTCGGTAGGCATCAAAAGACGTATCTGGGCCTGATGTTCAGAACCTCAGGGTTACTGGGACGGAAACCTAGACAGCACGCGACTTAACCTCCATTTAAGGTGAGCAAGAGAGCCACACAGGTGAAAGGGTTTGCTGTGGCTGCGGAGCAGGTGCAGCCCGAACGCCACACTCAGGACCCCTCGCTCCCTTTAGCTTCGCCTCAGCTCGCTCTATAGCAGTCTCTTCCCATATGCCTTCATCTATAAAAGAAAAAAATGGTCCTCCTCTGTCGGGGGTGGTCGTCCTCCTCCACCAAGCACGCAGCTTCGGGAGGGACGCACGTGGAGTGGGGAGGGAGGAAGGGGACACCCGCCTAGCCAGCCAGATCAGCCCAGTCAACCCTGGCGATCAATGGGGTGACAGATGTTTCAGCCAGATTGCCCTCAATGTAACTGTACTGTATACCTAAAATGTACCAATAAACTCAATGAGAAAAAAAAATGAATGTATTATACCACAAAAGCACATTATTGTTATTATTAGAATATTACCATTTAGAGATTTTTGTATGCATTTTTGTTGAGTCAGGAAATAGATTCACACTCACATTCATGATGTCGTATGTGGCTAAGGTTCCTGCGTGTTACAACTTAAAATAAACATTTGCTCTTATTATTTAACTGTTCAGAAGTAGTACACAGCAATTAGACAAAACACAGTTCAGTCATTTGATAGTAACAGGATGCGGAGATGATGGAAGCCTGCTAATATCTGACGAAGTCTTTTATTTATAGACTTAGAGATGTGTGACTATGAACCGGTTCACACGCAGATTCATATGAACTATCTAAAAGTGAATGAACAGGTAAACCATTTCAAATGTTTCGAAAATAAAAGCAACTATGATGGGTTTGTAAATACGAAAACTTAAATTTGTGATGGACTGAATGTTCCCAGTAGGCAACTGATATAATGGCACAGATACTGAAAATCAGTTTTTAATATTTGGTAAGAAAAATTTTCTTTACGCCTTTGGTGTAGTTGTTATTTCTATATCACTGTTTTAAAAAGAACATAATAGATTCACTTAGGCTTCAGATTCTTCTCTAAAGAACATTTTCGTTAAAGGCAAACTCTTTCCCAGAGGAGAGTGCTCGAAGACAATTCAGCAGATTTCAGAACTCAGTTCAATGCTGAGTAAAGCAGGGGAAAAAAAAACTGAGAAATTATATTTCATTATATAGTTCAGCCTTTCCAAACCAACAACATGCAAGCATACCGTCTTCGTCGGTTTGAATAATGGTCTCTTCGCTCTCCTTCCTTCCTTCCGGATTGGTCAGGATCATCTTGAGGCTGACGTTTGTGTAAGGTGGCAGGTGGCTCACGACGTGCTGAGGGGCCTTGGGGTCCATGTCCAGGCAGTCTGCCTGGCTCTCATTGTGACCCCTGAAGTAATGGTAGCAGATGGTGACATTGAAGGTGTGGCAGCGAGTAATGTTGTAACCCAAGGACTCCCAGTCCACGGCAATGCGTCTTGCCTGGATTTCGGCTATCTTTAAAGTCTTTGGCGTTCTCATAGGTTCTGAAAAATAAATCAAAGTTACAGATCGCTGTCAGTCGTACCATGAATGGTCTAGGAACTGTAGGGACAGTGAGCGTATTCACAGCCAGGAGGATGTGCGTTTCATCTTCCGTTTAAATGTTCGGTATTTATTCATGGTTTTATTTTTGAAAATTTCGATCAAGGGTTACGATTCACTAATGAGAAAACAAATAATATGCCATATGTCCACAGTACTCAGGAATTTGTCAGAAAAATAAAAACCTGCAAATGTAGCTACAATGCCCTCCTAGCTGTCACTCTTGTTCCTACTTGAGTCCCTGTCTTTCCCCTTTTTTGTCATTATTGAGCGAGTGCATTAGCTAATATATCATAGTGGATAAGAGTCAGCTTGTTCTGCTCTATGATTTGTCATGTCACTGAGCCATGGTGTATACTAATTAGTCTAATTGTAACACTAAACTACCATTTACAAAAAATGACACGGATATTAATTAACATTAATTATTTCAGTAATGATGTTGTTCATCAAAGCCCCCCCCATCGGAGACAATTATAAGACCGCATGTAGATATGAACACTGTCTTCTCTTCTTGATCTTTCTGAATTTTTCTATACTCAGGTCTGACGACACATTTATTGCCCCCACGTGAAACTGGGAGCGAGTTTTCATTCAGCTGGAAAATGCTGGCACAATGGAACATTTGGACCACTGGAGTCCATCTACCAACAATTCCCACACGTTTTCTTTCCTCATGCATGACTAACTTTAATTGTCTGACTTAATCAAAATAATTACTGTAGAAAAGCAACGGCCATAGCAAAGTCTACAAAGAAATCAATACGCAGCAAAACTTTAATATTTTGATCTGACAAAAATGAAAAGGGCAAAGACGAGGTCAAGGATTTGGGCCTTGCTTAACTCACTGAGGAAAGTCAGTACTCTTGCTCAATGGAAATCGACAGGAAAACAAGATAAAAAAACACAAAAACTTCTCTGTTGGGTATTTTATTCATTTTTATTTTTGAGATTAAAATCTCAGTTCTGTAAAAGCAATAAGCATACTACACAGAAGGTAAACCCAAACTGAACCAGCTCAATGTATTTAACGTGGGATCTGAAATAAACTCTGGTGGTCATTTAATTTAAAATCTCAAAACTACAAAATCTGTACCCATAACTGCAAGATACACACTTTGGTAGAATGTAATACGTAGCTTTTAAACATTATTTACCAATTTTGGGAGTATTTATAATATCCAGCCTTAATTTCTTACCACTTTTGTTTTATGTGATACCCTAAGTTTGTGTATAGGCTAGAAGAAATATGAGGTTTGTTAAATGGTTTTCTCTGTGTTTATGCTAACATTTTCCTTACTAGAGTGAAGTGGTGATAATTCAGACTACTTAAAGATCCAGTTCATCATCTGGACCGGTAGTTATAATAACACAACTTAAAAATTCCCAGAAAAGTGATTTTTGATGTCAACAGATTGCAAGCAGATTCTATTCAGTGGTCACATCCAGGTGATGCCAGACTTTGTTCTAAAAGTATCCAGAATAAGAAAGTACACTTTCCCCCAAGAATATTTGGATCATACAGATGAGTAACTCCAATACAGAAGTGGCAAAATACACTAATAAATATTTACTATTTATGCCTGTTTCTATAATTGTTTCTATAGACCCCTCATTTTTAATCTGACTTTTTCCCTTTCTAGTAATTTGTCTTTGAGTCTTTCATCAGTCATTTAATTTTGTGTTCAGTATTCAATTTGCATTTATTCTGCAATGTAATACAATTCGCAGAGATAAGGTAGTTCTTCATCCTTAACTCTTACATACTGAAGAGTCAGCAAAAGCTGTATTTATTGCCAATTATATAAAAAATGCATAAGGTTCACCCTGGGAATTTTATATATTTAAATGCTTTTATTTTGTCATTAAGGCTCAAAGAATCTTTCAACCAGGTTAATATTACTTGTAATTCATATTTTTCTCACTGAATTAAATGTTGCAAAGTGAATTGTTGTTGATAAAATAGACAAACACAATTCTATGTGTATGCCAATATTCAGAAACATAAACACAAAGTTAAAACCATATGCCCAATACAAAGGATCACAAGTTACTGTATTTACATTTTCCTTTATCTGCATGTGCCTTTTTAATTTTTTTCAGCTTTCATCAGGATAAGACCTTCTAAAATGTGGGTGTGTATGGTGACATGCAAACATATTCTACATATACATGTACGTATGTGAACAGATGTACTTATGCGTGTGTATGTGTGTGCGCGTGTGTGTGTGTGTGTGTGTGTGTGTATGCTGCAGATACACACGATAAACACTGACAGATCACTTCTCAGAACTCTGTTAGGTGTGATATTGGTTGACAAATGCATGTACATGGATTTTTGTAAGCAGCATTAACTTGACAGAGTTCTACTGCTATGAAATCTACTAAAAGTAAATGTCATCAAAGAGTGAAAAAATAAATTTGCTTAACTAGCTCACCTTAATACATTATTTCTAATGTTCCACCAATAAGCACTGTATTTCTAAGGTAAGACTGTATAAGTACAATCTGAACCTTTCTAGGTCAGAATAATTGCTTGACTTGTCATAGAGCAGCTGCGGCTGGAAAGATACTGTGCATCTGGATTCCTCCATGCTATTAGAATGGAGCACAGGGCTGCTCTGAGGGTTGGGTGAGAACTGAAGGAGCGGGATGAGGGCACATTCGAGGACTGCAGTAAATAATGGGAATCATCGCAGCAAAGGTAGACGACGGGGATCGTATTCACCCATGCAGTAGCAGTCAGTTGCGTTAGACGTGGTCATATTTGTCTCTTTGATTTTTTTGACTTTAACTTTTTTTATTAAGTGTTTGGTGTATGTGAATTTATAGGATAGTTCTCTTGCACTCCTCTGCTAAGAAGAAACTTGGTGAAGAAGAATGAAATGGAAAAGTTACAGGACATAATTTTACCAGGAACTTGGAGGAAACTGCAGTGGAACAAACAATACAGCAAATGGTCTTTACAAATGTTGAGATGAAGTTTGTCCATTATTATAAAACAAAATACTTTGTCTATTATAAAAGGGCACTAACCCTGGTAAATGACACTGAAGTGAATAAAACATAATAGCAGACTTTAGAGAGCTTAGCATCTTTTTATTAAACATGATAAAACAAGAAGAAGAAAAGATCAACAAGTGCATGCACATAAGTGACATATGAGTGGAACAAAATGCTACAGGAATACAAGAGGGAGAAATGACTTCCACCTGTCAAGTGGAAGGGACATTTGCATTAAGTCTAGTAGACACAGCTACGATCTATAGATAGTTTGGATAAATAATACAAAAGGAGAAGGAACCAAATGAATAAAAATGCAATGGACAGTTGGAGAAAAGCACACCCTCACGTGTGGTGGCTGTAAATACGTCTGGGAGGTGATGTAGGAAAGACTGAGATAAAACACTGAGTAAACTTTGCATGTCACGGTAGGAGGCTGAACTTGCCCTCACACTTTGGGAAGTCACTGAGAGTTTCTGAGCCTAGAAACTACCATAGTCAAGTAACTACTTCAGAAAGACTCATCTGGGGGCTGTGTCAAGTGTGGAGATTCTGCAAAAAGGAATTCAAAGGGTTGCAATGTGCTAGGGGAGAATCAGGCTAGTAGGGAGGGTGATAGGGGAAAAAACAGAGCAGATGCAACTATGGCGAAGTACAGTAGAAAACCATGTGGCAACTTGGACGTGAGATACGTTAAAGGATATGATATGGCTAGTGTGTTCACAGGAAGTAGCTAAGAAAAATATGGTGTTCTTAAATAAATGAGAAAAATCAAGGGACACAGACTGAAGTAAAGTGATTTAGTAATCTGGTATCATTTACTTATGGGCTAGGAAATATACTAGGAGCCAAAAAAACAAAGATCAATGTGACAATGTCTTGGTCTAGGAAGCAAAACTAGCAAGCAATAGTTGAACCGATCTGTTTCAAATAACTTGGGGAGTACTCTGAACAAAAGGAGATCGGAATGGAAGCATCGGTTCCCCTTAGTCAAGGGGTGGGGTGGGGCATTCCTACCCTCCCAAAGACAGAAAGAAGAGGAAGAGAAGACAAGAGACAGAGAGAAAAGAAAGAAGAAAGGGCAAGAGAGAAATGGAGGGAGGACCCAACTTGAATGGATTAAATATGCCTCACAGACGGGTAAAGCAGCATTCTCAGTGTATCTGTGGGGAACTGACAGGCAGGCCAGCAGACTGAGGAAGACTGGATGTGGATGGCACCAACCAACAGGCTTGTAGCCTGGACAGAATAACAAGATGAAGAAGAAGGAAGTGGTCCCATCCAGGCTTCCGTCCATAACTGGCTGTCTCTAAGGCAGGGTGGTACAGCAGCAACAGTTCACGGTGGACGACAGGAGCAACAACAAGGGAACCTCTGCCCCTTTTATCTTATTCAGGCTACTTAGGGCAGGTAGCACCCGGAACCTTAATTCTAGTGTCCTCAGGCCCCACCACAAGTCACACACTTTAGATTCAGCCACCTCCAAAAAAGCACGAAGCTTTGAGGGGACACCTAACACACGGTACCGTAAATTAGAGGAGCGTAACTAACAGAGGGGAGAGAATGGTGGAGGAGGAAGAGGGAGGGAGAAGAACAAGACAGAGCCAGACAAGGAGCAAGTGAGTTTTAAGCAAAGATGACGTTATACATGCAGAACGTTACAGTTTCTTTCAAGGAAGCCCAGAGAGTTGCAAAGACACTAGTGTCCATGTTAATTCTACCCTGCCCCATCTTATAGATGAAAACAATGAGTTATGAAGGAGGCTACCACTTTTCTAGAGGGCCGTTCATTCAAAAGCAGAGGCCAGCATCAGAAACCAGATCTTCAGACGCATGGAGTCGAACCCCTTTCACCAATGTCTGGGCCCTGCCCGTGGCCATTCCCACCGGAAGTCTGAGAGGCCTTGTGCAGGGTCTCCTGACGTCCCTAAAACAATGC